CCGCCGACCCTGTGATGGGGGGTTTGCAGGAGAGCTGCAAAGCATCCTGGGATGCTGGGGGACTGTTTAAACTTGAAATCTGGAGGGGATCTGGGACAGAAGTTCAATAAACCGATTTAACTGAAATCAGTTAAGTCTGATACTATGTCCACCCAGGTTCATCTTAAACTGGCTTCAGCCATTTTGAAAAGTGGTTGATATGCATTGAACTTCTGGGTGAAGTACAGACATTTGGGGAGGTTAAACTGGGTTCAGAATGGCTGCCTAATTTTAAATTAGCTCATCCTAGTGCCGACCTTACACTTAAAGACCTGGTCTCAGTGACCAGCAATCAGTCTAAACCTGTAACTGTACAGAAGTTCCATGCACACAAGCCAGTCTAAAAATTGCAGAACCCAGTTTAAGATAAACCTGGGTCTATGTAGTATCAAACTTATTTGATTTAGGTTGAACTGGTACATTGAACTTCTATACACTTTCCCTGTGCAGACGTGGGACTGGAAAAACCCAGCCACCGGCCCCAGCCTTGAAACTGCTCTTCTCACAGCACCCCCCAGTACTAGGCTATTTTTTGTCCCCCACCTCCCCCTCAACCAGCCCACCCTCTCAACTCCCCTCCCACAAGCCACTCTGGGTGCAGCTGCTTTTATCAGTGTTTGCTGCTGCTGGAGCCGAGCAAGTAAGTCCTGCTGGGGGGAGGGGCAGGAGGGATGGGGGTACAGGTTAACTGGGGGAAGTTGTGCCTTCCCCGCCCACTGCACTCACAGGTCACACCTGCCCCCATCCTCCAGTGGACCCCCAATCCCTTCCAGGCTGCTAGACCCCAAACCCCCTCATTAGCCCTCCCATCCCGACTTACCTGATATATCAGGCAGCCATTTGGATTTAATTTAACCTCCCCCTAATGCCCCAGAATGTCAGTACTTAGCCATGTTGTGTTACAGATTTGAACCAGTTTCCGATAACTTATACTGGGTTGCGTGTAATTTCTGTCCCTAGTCAAAAAGCAATCTTCCTCAGTTATAAGAATCAAATAGGTAGACCATGAAGGCTGTACTATAGAAATTATACTCTGTATATGACTTTTCAAACATGAATTCTGTCTATGGAGATTGCATAGCACACTTGGAGAATCTGAAGTTATTTTTTTTATATACTTAGCAAGCAAAAATAACACAAGAAAGAGTAATTTGAACTGAGCATTTTAAATGATTGAAAACTATTTCAGCCCCATATTTAAGTTACTTAGAGGTTTCTGAATGAGTGTCCAAAAAATTCATTTCTGGACAGACTAAAACAAAATTCAGCAACAGACTGAAAATTATTTATTTGAGGCAGTTACACAACTGATACCGGGGGTGTCAGAATGGAGGCATCAACTCAACCTTTGACAGTTTAGTGATCACTCTCATAAAACCTAAAAGATTTTAAGTAGCAGGGAACAGTTGAGAGAAAAGTGCCCTGAAAAGTACAAACAGTAAATTCCCAAATGGGTATGTAATTCATAAACGCAATTCAAAGCAAGTATTAAAATGGATGCATCTTAGCACATGTTCTTCTGGGCATACTCACTTGTGAATTAAGAAAGCACCACATGATTCATACCAAAAATAATTCTACATTTATATTCAGGGTGGCTAAGAGCCAATTTTGCAAGCAGAAAGTATACAGAAGCCAACTATTATTTTCCAGAAATAGGACTTCTTTGCTGAATATGAATGCAGTAGTTCTCACAGACACTTATTGCCTAAACTTCCCCCCATCCCCTGTGTACATTTTCTGAAAACGTCTTTCATCATCAGTGTGGCTGAAACCATGACAAAGTATATTAAGACCTTTTGATAGGTGACCCCTTCATTACCAAATAAAATAAGACAAGTATTTGGAGATGTTTTAAAAGTGCAGCAAAAGAGTTTAATATAAACATATTTCAGCACATGCTCATTGGCTTTCAGGACTGTGATGGATAAATGATAGCTACTCACCTGCTGGAACACATGCATGGGAACGCTGGCATTAGAAGAACTTAGGGAAGAAATCTGGGTCATAAGAATCTGAAGGGGCTAAGAAAAACAGGAAGAGACCCAAACACAAGGAAGGAATCTGCAAAGCACATGGTACATAATGATTCCAAAATCTCTGGCTGCAGTAATGAGGACTTAAGTATTTTAAGAAACAAGAATTAACAGAATAAAAAGATAAGACTGGCTATATAAATGTCAATCTTTATTTGAATTATCCCAATGCAGTACATGAATTGTGCACTTCAAATGAGTAGAAAAACAAAAGACCTGAAGGAAACTGAGAGACTGATGCGGAACGATCCCGGGGTTAGGATGTCGCTTTTGGAAGGGATATGTTATCCATTTCGTGGATGCCATCTTTGTCAATTAAACGAACGCTGAAAGAAGGCAGGTTCAGGATAAAACGTTTCTGGAGCTGTTTAACAGGGAAACAAGGGAAGAGATTTGTTCAAGACTTAAATGAATATAGTTTGTTTATCAAAAGCGAGGAAGACTGAAGCATCTCTCAACAGCATTTATTTTATTTATTTTGTCCAAGTCGGTGTCTTGGCTTGGTTTCTCTGATAGTTCCAGACTGCAAAACTAAAATGTCTTTCATGTTCAGGAATACTTGAGTGCTACAAATCTACCAATTTGTGAAAGATCCTTAAGAAACAAAATAGAAACTGCACCGTTAGAGTAGTCATCTTAAAGAATCATGTGGACTTTGAAGGGAGTGGGGAGGGAAGGAAGAGGGAGGGAAAGGAATCACAGGGAGCAGCATTTTAGGATTTTTGACCTATATAAGCAAACCATTTCTTTTCAGCTCTTGTTTTTTATGGAGCACAGGACTCCCCCAGAATGCCTTTTAAAAAGAAATCTGCAATAGGATGAGAAAGCTGCATAAACTGCTCCTGCATCCAGTGATGCAATATATTGGGCTCGTTAAGAACATAAAACTCTGTCATGCCCAAATTTATCTGGCTATACAGCTTAAAGAATTTGTCTTGAAGTAGTACCTAACAAGAGAACAGCTCAGATAAATTAGCTTGACTGCACCAAGGCTATTTAACAGGTCCCCACTGTACACACTGCTTGGGATATAAACTTTAGTCAATCGTGCATGGTATGATGGCAGCGCAGGCTCCCTCTCCTGCAGTGCCTCTTATTTCAGTATTAATCATCTCTAACAAGATTTTTGGTTCAAATGGAGAACCTTAGTCAGAATTCATTAGAATTGTTTTGTTCATTGAATTAAGATACTGCAGACAAATGTCTTAGGGAGGTCCAACCTCCTCCATTTGTGCTGTGTTTAAGTATGTAATTCTTCCCAACCCTCACAACTAACATTAGGGAAATCCAGACTTTTTTATGCAAATACTGACACCCCCTTTTAGGGTAAGACGAGTGCTCTGTGCACTGATGAGCTCATATTAGATGGTCAGCAAGCTGTACAAAGAATATTTACTCTTCCTGCCTAGCTTGATAGTAGAACATCTTTAATTCAATGTAGTATCATTCATCCTATTATTAAAACAGAACTGGACTGAATACTGCATTTTCATTTTAAAAATTTGTTTCTTTGTTTTGTAGGCAATTTCCTGGGACTGCACTAGAATCACAAGCATTTGCAACATGGTTTTAATTCTTTAGTATTTTGGAGGTACTATGGCAAATATATATATATTAGCTAGATGCCAGAGATCAATCACTCAGACGAGAAAAAAAGTATCAGCAGGCAGGCCTGTATGGTAATGCAACCATGTCTCTTTCAATGATGCTCATGGTCATTCTAGTTTACATGCAACTAAAAAGCAAGTCAACTTGTGTAAGAGATTATTTTGCAGGTCTTGAAATACATTTAAGTCAGGATTCCCAGATTTATGGATATTTCCAAAGCATAGTTAGAATGGTGTCTCAGGCTAAGCCAATTCATTCATCTGGGTAACATAGTTTCTGGAACACAATAAAAGTTGACTTAACTGTAAATGACAAGATCACTGTGTATCTATCTGGCCACTTAGCTATCATGTCAGACCAAGTTTTCAACTGACAAGGTAGAAGACATGCAAGGAGTTAGGCCACATACTGTGTTTGACAGAAGTCTGAAAAGGAAGGAGCATCAACTGAGGTATAATGGACATGGCACATGTGAGGAAACTATACAGCACATCCTCTTTCAGGTACTACCCAATCCTAAATTTATCAAATCCCCTTTGAGATGAATGACTGCCATCGCTGACTACAATTAATCAAGATGTCAACCTCCAAAGTAAGTTTTTTTTTTGCAGCAGACTCTCCCCTGCCCCACAGCACCACCCAGGTCTCCAGACAAATTATAAGAGTCCTGCTCTAGAATGAGTTATGGTGTGAAGATACTTGATGCTGAAGTTGTTGACCAAATCCCTAATGCCTAAGGTCAAATGTTTATCCAAGTTAGACTTGGCTATCCATATATGAACTGGGGGTGGGGAGAGTGGCTTGGCTTAAAAAAAAAAGAAAAAAAGAAAAAAGAAAAGTGTAACAGAAAAATAAACTTACCAGGAACACAGGACAAATACCCCAACAATACAAATATTTTAGGCAAAACAACATAAAAGGCAGAGTTAAAGGCTGTCTACATCAATATTATCTTAGAGATGGAAGGACCAGAAGTAAGGAACAGCAATTAAGCCTGAAGTTTACATTCTGGAGGACATGAACCATGCTAAGACAATACAAGTACCCACAAATCCTTTTTCTCAGTAGCTGCTCCACATCTGGCCAGCATGTATTTATTACCCCTTCTGGTGAGGATGGGGAAAAAGTGCGACAGAGGAACAGGAAAAATATCAGCAAACAAAGACAAACAAACATTTCTTTCTTAAGTGCACATGGACCCGAGTCTTTAGTGACTCACCTCCTCTAGACATTTCTTTAAGAGTTCCACTGCCTCCTCACGTGAGATACCTGAAGGAGAAAACACCCACAGATTGCTTTAATTAGAGGCCATCTCTCTCGACTTAAAACTTTATTAAATTTAAACAACTTTTCAGCTGAGCACTGCAAAGCTCTCCTTCCCAGCTCTCAGAAAACACATTCCATATGTACTGAGGATGCCCTGCACTGAAGCGCTCACGTTGCAACAAGCCATTGAGAATCGATTTGTTACACTGAATGGGAAGCATGACGGAATTTTGCCTCCCATGGCCAGAGACTGGGCTTCGGAGAGGTCCAGCCGCCTCTCTCTCCTCGAGTTTATTACAGTCCTAAATCAGCTCCATCTGTCCGCAGCCGGCTGCAAGTCAGTGAAAGTGGGCGGAGACCTGTGTTAGTGCTACATTCCCTGCTGGGTATTAGTTTTAATAATGGGAAAGGCACGTGTGTGATGCCCCTGCTGTTCTCACACATTAGGATAAAAACCAGAACTCAATGGGGATGGCAAGCGATGACAATTTATCGCAGTTTGTTTTTTTGCCTGTCGGAGGGAGTCGGGAAGGAGAAGAAAGGCCGTGTCATTTGCAGGAGACAAAAAACGAAAAAGCTAGATCTGTGGTTAAGGGACAGCCTACTGGTTTCAAAGGTTTTTGTTTCTGTCCTGCACCCGCTGGTCAGGTGCAATAACTCCATTCAGAAGGAAACTGCCAGATTCCTGCTGCATTGGTTGCAGGCAGCAGATTGAAAGACACAGCTAAGGAAAGGTGTCTGTAAAGAGTCAGCAAATTAAACTTTGTGCACAAAATCTTCCTACCAACACATAAGGGATTTTTGCAACTAAGAGAATCAGAGCTCAACCCTGGGGACAGAGACAGTGCTTCACTTTCCTGATCTGTAAAATGGAACTAATGCTGGGGAGGGAGGGAAGGAAGGGTTTTAACCATGCAGATGTAATCATGTTTATTATCTGCATAAGCTAAGATTATAAAAGCAGTAAGAACAAGCCATCTACCCTCAGGTCAGCTAAGGGATAGAAGAAACAGGCTGGGTAGAAGTGTCATTCATTCTCTGGTCTCTAACAGATCTTTGAGCTCATACAAGATACAGACAAATAAGAATTGAGACTGCCCTCTAAAGGTGGGCATTTTGGGAGGAGTTATACCAGTATGCATGCTTCGTAGCCACTAAACTAGCAGTGGAGAGAGATCTGAAATCCTGTCTGTAAAGCAGGTGTTACCTAAACATATTTCCTCACACCACTGCTTTGTTTTGAACACCATGATTTAACCACCTTTCTTAAATTTCTTTGGCTTCTGAAGATAAAAAAAATACAAAATATATTAACAGTGAATGCCTGGGGCAAAAAGTCACTAGTACCAAAACACTGCAGGAAAGCCATCAAAACACTATTTAACAGATAAGGGCTGCCAGTAGCTAACAGGTCAGCAATTTAGAATAAAAATCTGTTCATGCTCTAGATAAAGATTAACCTCCTTTCCTTTACGATGATTTCAAGCAGGAACTGCATGCACTTCAAAATGTGGTACAGTTTAACAGTGGCTTCCATTCCTCCTGAAATACAAATCTAACTTTTTCACTGTTAAGTAGTCACCACAGAGATTTGAAACTCACAACAGCAGTAGTGGACAGAGGGATAACTTAATTTACAAAGAAAAGATACCATGTTGAGATGCATTTACAAGTCGGCAGAAGAATTCTTTCACTCTTCACTTACTTGGCTTATAATAGCGGTCAAGAATGCTGAGGGTTAGGAATGCACCATATCCATGTGCTGCAAAAGGAGCTTTAGCCAGGGCTGCAAGATAATCCATATAGTAAAGGGCAGGACCTTCATGGTCATCATAGCCAGCCAAGAGGAGGTTGACATGGTAAGGAGTCTGCAAGAAAAATACAACAGTTCCCCTTAATGCTGCAACATAGATCCATCTCCCTTCTAATGCTTCCCATGCCAGGCACAGACCTGCAAAAAACTGTCCACTTTCAAAATGCTCCTTTGCCTACAAAAAGCACTGGGTCTCAAACCCAGAGAATGGCTCAAGTTTTCTTAGTAGGAAGCAGAATTCTTTACCGCCCTGCATTCCTTTAAGCAATACAGGCCTTTTCCTTAAGTCTACACTAGGGACATGTTAACAGCAAGCTCTTCAATTCTAAAAGGAGGACAACTTGTACTTAAAACACTTTCACACCAAGTTCCTTCATCTCAGTATAAAGTCTACGTTTTTTTGCTGTCAGCATGTAAACACAACATGGACTTCTCTGCACTGTACAAAAACGTCTTTGTTAATTTAATATAATGTTTTCTCAGTTGCACTGTAGTTAGCCATAAAGCATTTTAGTGAGTATGAAACCATATATATGGCTTTAAAACAGCGTGAACATGTTCATACAATGTTATTCTGTAATATTAACTGCCAGTTATAATTTTATTGCATGTAACCATACTTAATCTATAAAAGTCATTAAACTAACCTGAATAATCAGGACTAGTGAGGTAGTCTATAGAGCTGCTTTCATTCAGAATCTGGCCCATTTCTAAAATTAGAAGATCAAGACCATACCAAAAAAACCATAAAGGCTTTTGCTTTCTGCAGACATTTAAGATAACCATTTTTTGTCTTTTATCCTTCAGAAATAGCTTGACAGAGGAAGAGAACTAAAAGTCAATCTGCTTTAAATTATATCTTTCTTCATTAATGGCTTGCAAAGTCTTAAAACAAGAAAGAAAACATGGAAATATCTTATTCTTTAACCAAGACAGACCACCCATTTCTGCTAAAACAGACTTTTTACTGTGTTCTACTCAGAGATCCAGCAATTCCTCAGCAGTTTGCTTTGTCTTTAACATGGTTTCTCCTTTTTCTAAAACACTTGTCCTCTTATTACTGCATTTTCCACAATGGAGAGAGCGATCTTGTATACACATTATTCCAAAACATGTGACATTCATTTGAGCATATACATGTATGCTCAAATGAGCATACAAAAACCTCATTCTGAGGCACAGGATCATACAAAGAATACACAGAATCATCATATGCCTGTTTTCAAGATAGTACAGAACTAACTGAAGTACAAAAAACTGATCTCAATACCTGGTATTAAATAATATCTGTCATTAAACAAAAATATCATAGTATTAATATTCTGAAAAATGTAGATCAGCAAGCCAACCATCCCAAGTAGGAAAGAATTAA